GCTTCGCCCCGCTCGCTGACCAGCTGGGGCAGCCAGCAGTACTGGGCCCTGATGGTGCCTGAGCTCACCCAGCAGATGTTTGATGCCAAGAACATGATGGCTGCCTGCGACCCGCGCCACGGCCGCTACCTGACCGTGGCCACCGTCTTCCGGGGCCCTATGTCCATGAAGGAGGTGGACGAGCAGATGCTGGCCATCCAGAACAAGAACAGCAGCTACTTTGTGGAGTGGATCCCCAACAACGTCAAGGTGGCGGTGTGCGACATCCCGCCCCGGGGCCTGAAGATGGCATCCACCTTCATCGGCAACAGCACGGCCATCCAGGAGCTGTTCAAGCGCATCTCAGAGCAGTTCTCGGCCATGTTCCGGCGCAAGGCCTTCCTGCACTGGTTCACGGGCGAGGGCATGGACGAGATGGAGTTCACCGAGGCGGAGAGCAACATGAACGACCTGGTGTCCGAGTACCAGCAGTACCAGGAAGCCACGGTCAACGACGGGGAGGAAGCGTTTGAGGACGACGAAGAGGAAATCAACGAATAGAGGACCCCCAGCTCAGATACTGCAGTGCGTGTGTTCTTTCTTTACCCTCCTGGCCCGGCACGGTGCTCTGGTCTGAACCTGTTGGTGGAGGCCCCTCACCCACAAACGCAACAACGTTGTCTTATCACTCGTCTGGAATAAAGAAAACACTCTAAGACAGCATGTCACTGGGAGTTCTACCCGATCAGAGGACAGAGATTTACTGGCAGAGAGCTTGAATGAAAGAATGAAGGGGCCTTGAAAGGCTAAGGAAAGAACCTCACCTTCCACTAAGTATTCAAGTGCGGCTGGGAATAAGCAGGGGAGCTATAAGTCTTTCTTCATCCTTCGTGGTGAAACCCGAAGCTGTGCAGTGTGGCCTTATTTGAATATGCAATATGAACTCTGAAACAATCGATTCATAATAAAATACTCAACTTGTGCCTTTGTCTCCTCCAGCTGTGTGCTAAAGGGACTTGCATGATTACAGTGGATATTGGGTCACTGGTATCTCCCTAGGGCAAATGGCCCTCCCTTCACTAAAAGAGCAAAGGAAAGGGCTTTTCTTAAATGGGGGGGCCCTTTAAGGGTGGGCAGCTGAGATTTTCCCAAGCTTGAAAGTAGGGCAACATAAATAAGCGTCTTCCTTGTTTGGAGCCACACATTGAGCTCCCCCACAGAATCTCATCACGCCAAGTCAGGCCCTGGGGTGGGGACCCCCAACCTTCTTGCCAAAGGAGCCCCAGGAGGTGCCATCAGCCTTCCAGAGAAAGCAAGAGTGCTGAGACTGGGGAGCTGAGGGCTGGCAGCCGGTCCAGAGTGGAGCATGGAGGGCTCTTCACTGTTGTGACCCATCACCCCTTGACAGTTACTACAAGTAGCCACAACTCTTGCGAAAGGCTTCCAGTCAGACGCCACAGGACGTGACCAGGTTAGCTTGACTAGTAACAGGTACAGACCTCGCTGTTGACAGTACTTTTGGTTTACTTCTTCCTGCCCCCCTCGAAGTTAGCTGTAAACATGGCTATTCCAGATGTCCCCACCTGTACAGCTCCTTGCAGTGGTAAGGGCCAGGGGTAGAGAGTATCTGCCAATCGTGCACTACCCACGTGGAGAAAAGCACACCAATCGCCCTTGTGAGAAGTGAATCTCTAGCCTGGAAACAACTCATTGAAAGCATCCTGAGGTAAGGAGGTGGCCAGTGTGCTTCAGCAGGTCACCAAGCAGGACAGGCAGGCGTGGGGGCTGGGCTGAGAGACTCCTGTTCTGGAATGCTGAGCCTGTGGGGGTATATGCAGGTACTTCAGGCTGCTCCAGGGATGCCGCCCGCTTTGAGATCTTAACTCTAAAGTCACTGTTCCATAATGTCAGCAACACACATGGCAGGGTGGAATAACATTAAAGGAGGCTTTCAGAAAACCACATATTTAAAAATGCAAACAGATCTAGTACCTCCATGACCAAATAACAGCATTTGAAGACTTAGCAAACCACCTCCATGCCGTCTTTTTCTAAGAATTTTGATCTAGGCTTGCAACGCTGCAGACTCACTTTCTAGAACCATATCCACTAATAACTTCCTTCTAATAGAGAACAGGAGTTTCTCATTCAGACCACTCCTGTGATTTCCTGGGAGATCCAGGACCCAGGGGACTCCCTGGCTTACTTCCATGGTCCCCTCTGAAACCTGGTGGTGGCTCCGGACAGCCTGCGAAGCACTCTATGGCTACATGTTGACTTCTAGACCCAGGTATGACCAACGTCTGGTCATGACCAGCCTCGTGAGGACCTAAGCAGAGTCTCGTGATGACTGACTCTCGGGACCAACATACCTTACATCCAGAGCTCAGTCACTGTAGGCCATGTACATCTAGAAAGCACTAACCCTTCTGTGGTCACTGATGAGAACCAGCAAGACCAAGATTTTGAAGGATTTCCCTCTAAAAAGTAAGAACATTTCATTTCTTACCATTGTTTTCCAAAAGTATCTGGAGTACAGTGTCAACATTTTATTTTTGATGTAAAGAAGCCATATTTACACAGTACATTCATATTTTAAATATATTACAGCTCTGTAGAAAACCATTCCATTAAGACAGCAACAAGTGATCTAGATTCAATCTTTAAAATAATAAGTCAAATTAAAAAATTGTTATCAGGACTCCAATTTAATCTCACAGCTCATCTGCAGAGGGAAAATGAAAAGAAACAGGAATGAAGAGTGGACGATGAAAAGAGAAAAACGTCCCTCTCCCACAGTCAAGATTCCACAGGTGATGACTCCTGTCACAGTCAGCCGGACCCCACTGATGGTGTCACAGGGACCAGCACTGGCAGCACTGGGCTGGGCAATTCCAGCCACTTGCCTGGAAGCCTTACGAGGCTGTAGGGCAGTGTGAGTCTCTCTCAGAGGCTTCAGAAAGTCAACTCCACCTAACTGTGACTTCCAAGGCTGAGGACTGAGGACCCCTCACCCCATCATTTCAGCTGGGTCAGTAGCTGGCTAAATCAACTTGGCAGCGTTCCCATCCTTCTCAAAGCCAGAGCTGAAATAATGTGCACACTGAAATCACGGAAGACAGACTAAACGGCCTCTCTCCTTGGATCTAGTTGGCGACTTTCTCACCCGGGGACTCCTCTTTCTCCTTTTCCCTTTCTTTGTTCCAGTCCTTAAGGCCTTCTGGAAGTGAGGTGTCCTCATCCAAGCTGCCAGTGCCTTCCACGAATTCTTCATAAGTAGATTTTTCTGCAAATGGTCTGGGGCCCAAAAGTTCAACCATATCATTCTTATCTAATACTTCTTTTTCTAACAATAGAAGAGCGACCTGAAATATGAACAGTTTCCATTAAATACAGTTACTCACCAGACTATTCAAAAGTAATAATGTTCTCATTTACAGGTGACTCCATTCCAGAAAGGATTTAAGACCAAAGAAAAAGATGTCTCATACATAAGGTCACATAGTTTCAGAGTTAAGATGCACAAAATATTGGAAACAAAGTTCCCTGGACACACCTCGATACACTTACACAATGAGTTACTATTTGCCTGTAGGAAAGACTGAGGAGACTGTCTTTGTTCTATATATATCTCAGAGATACATATTTCAATGAAGAAGAAGCACAATGTGCATATAATATGTTACATCTGCTTTAGGGAAGTTTCTGTGTGCTGTTACAGTAAACTAAGCCTGGGGTTGTTTCTGTGCCCAGAATTCTTACACAAGCACACTAGAACTTAACTGAGAGGCATTCCTTGTGACTAATTAATTTTAAATCAAGCTTTGGCCAGTCACAGACAGCTGGCTATGTATCTTGGGACCCTGCACTGGACCACGCTCAAATAAGGCAAACGCCTAGCAGTGACCCATCAGTACAGTTACACTGCATACCAACATTTCAGCCAACGACAGACTGCATATATAATAGTCTCATAAGGTTATACCACTGTATTTTAACTGTACCTTTTCTATGTTTACATACTATTGTGTCACAGTTATCTACAGTATTCAGTATAGTATACTCTGTACAGGTTTGTAGCCCAGGAGCAATAGGCCATACCATTGCCTGGGTGTGTAGAAGTCAGTACTGTTGAGGTTTGTGTAAGTACAATCTGATGTTCACACAACAAAACCAACAGATTTCTCAGAATATATCCCCATTGATAAGTGTCACGACTCTCATTGCTTTGCTTTGCTTCCAAGCTCAGCCTATAAAAGCCTGTTCCTCACAGCTGTTTTTAGTGCTGCCCGATTCATTAATTGTTCTTTTCACAAATGTTAAGTTTATGTGTCTAAAGTTTCTTTTTTAACAGAGTAATAGAAGTGGTTTTATGGCGAGTAGGTTAGAGGCAAAGGTAGAAATAGGATAAGCAGCAAATTTTAAAAAGTTAAAAAAAAAAAAAAGACAAACAAGGGCAGAGATGAAATGAGGGCAGGAATGCTCATATGAAAATAGATTTCATGAAGTTCTCTTCAGTTGCCTTGGGTGAACCACAAATTTGACACCACACATTTTAACAGGCTATAAGAAAAGAGACACCTGCCCAGTTATGTGTATGGAGGCAAGTGATGGTATGAGGAGAGGAAGGAACAGTGTTTATGTGACATCTCACCAGTACAAAGAAAATTAAGCAGTTTAAGTTATAAACTGAACTTCCTTAGAAATTTACCTATCTTAAGTTTACAAATGCTGTTTTTAAAGATATAGAATAGTTTTGTTTTTTCTATTTTTAAGCATTTTATTATAGAATATTTCAAATAGGTACAAAAGTAAAAAGAATGAATGACTAACTCCCATGTTACCATTATCAAAAATGATCAACTTAGAGCCATTTTTGTTTTATCCACTCCCTAGATTATTTTTAAAGATGTCATATCACTTTATTCATATATATTTTTGTTCATATCCAAGAGATTAGGATTCTTTAACTCTTTGCACTCGGAGATACCTCATGGATCATGTACCAGTAACTCAACCACACTTTTTTAGAAATAGTGAAAAATGAATCACTTCATATTAAACAGTAAATTGGGCCAGGCACAGTGGCTCATGCCTATAGTCCCAGCACTTTGGGAGGCCGATGTGAGAGGATGGCTTGAGCCCACAGGTTTGAGACCAGCCCGGTCAATCTGGCAAGACCTCATCTCTACAATACATCAAAAAATTAGCCAGGTGTGGTAGCACATGCCTGTAGTTCCAACTACTTGGAAGGCTGAGGTGGAAGGATCACCTGAACCCAGCAGGTCGAGGGTGCGGTGGCCTGAGCATGCCACTGCACTCCAGCCTGGGCGAGAATGAGATTCCAACTCAAAATAAATAAACAGTAAAGTTGGAACCACTGTTTTCTTATAATGGTATTTGGCTTATAATGGAATTTTAGACACTGAGGAATTTGTGACCAAAAAAAAAAATCAACATTTTATATCTTATATTTTTCTAATGTGTGGTAATGTGTGAAACAATCACTGGCACGTATTGCTGATTCATTGATACATTTTGTGCAATAGCAATTTGTTGGACGTCTTCCACCTGTGTTTTTCTATTCCAGCCGAAAATGCAGTCTCATTTTCTCCCTCCCATATTACTAATGTGTAATTTACTGTCTAATCTGTTTGAAGATTATGTGGAAAGATGCACCTGTGATTCCTGAAAAACATTTCTCAACTGATCCATCAGAAGCTTGACAAATTTCAAATGGGACATAGGTTATTCATTGTTTTTGAATGGAAAACTTGAAGTAAACATATGTTTTTGAAAAATCTGTGCTTATATAAGTTTGTCCTGTGTAATCACCAGTAATCTTATGTCCCCTGAGAGGGGACACCTGAGTGGTTTGCTAGATTTACAATGTTCCCTCAGAGGGGATGCCAAGTGCAAGGGTTAAAAACCAGAACACGTGATCATGTCAGTGCACTCCATCCTGGGTAATATCCTCCTCATCTGAAGCAGGTCAAAAGGTGCCTGCCCCAGTCCTCAGCTGATCTGGTCAAGTCTTCCGATTCCAGCAGAGCTGGCATGTTGCTGCCACACTCTTTTGAGATGATGAACTTCTAATCGTTTCTGCTCACCACCCTTTAAGGACTCCTTTAAGAACTACTTAAAACAAGGAGTCTGGGCTAGGCTAGGTCATTGTGAAGTCGTTTCTATTTCCCAAGCTGTGCACCTCACTCTGGAGGGCCCTGGGCCCCAGTGCACACCATGCGGCAGGCCCAGGGCTGCCCTCCACACTCGACCCACAAGCACCACCACGCTGCTCCTGCCCTTTCCTTGTTCACTGTGACCCGATTACCCCTCAAGCCCCTATCTCCACAGTGCCTTCTTGAATCACTCTGCCCACAGGGCTCTTTTCTTTCTTGGAGCCCCAGCAGCATGCTTTCCAGTGCTTTGGAGTTGCCAGCACTCTCTCCAGTTTCACTGCACACTTCTGTGAACTGATAGCATGGATTCTTCTGGAATCACCTAGTACAGGGCTTATAGTCAACTTCTCTGAAGACGTGCTGATTGAACAGTATATCTCTTTTTTTTTTTTGAGTTGGAGTCTCACTCCGTCACCCAGACTGGAGTGCAGTGGCCACTCCCGGCCACCGCAACCTCGACCTGCTGGGCTCCGGCGATCCTTCCGCCTCAGCCTTCCAAGCAGCCGGAACTACAGGTGCGCGCTACCATGCCCAGCTGATTTTTGATTTATTGTAGAGATGAGGTCTCGCCAAGTTGCCCAGGCGGGTCTCGAACCCGCGGGCTCAGGCAATCCACTCACCTCAGCCTCCCAAGGCACGGGATTACAGGCTGAGCCACTGAGCCTGGCTTGAATAGTATATCTGTCACTCCCTTATCAAAGACTTTTTCATTTGTGTTTTCCCTACTACAGTGTGGAATGTCCAAAGATCAATTCTAATTTTGTTTGCATTAATTCTGAAAATTCAACAGGTTACTGGGCACGAGAAATCCTCTGAGTTCAGAAAGGGTAACTCCCTCTTGCAGGTGCTATCAAATGAGACACAGCCGTAAAAAACACAAAGCATGCTTATTTCTGGAGGTTCAACATCGAGCCAAAGGTACTTCTCATGTACCCATCTCCTACTCATCAGTTTGGCTCTTTATTTTACTTGTCCTCTCACCTTTCACTACCTATTTAATCTAGAGGTGAAAAACAATGGTAAATTCTAATGAGACAACTGTGCTTGTTTAGGAGTACTGGTAAAATATTTGGTGAGGAAGTTCTGATTTAACTGTTTACTTAATAGTTATTAATAGACTTCATTAATCATTCACTATTATTCTTTTTTTTAATGGTAGATATATGTCATTACACATTTGTCCAGACCCACAGATTCACTCTTATTCTTGTGAATAAGAGCCACAAGAAGCCAGGATAGTGTCCACTCTTGCTCACCACCATATTCCAACTGCCTTATGGAGACAGAGAAGACACTAAAACATCAGAATTAATGAACCCAAGGGTTAGCTAGAGAGGGAATTCTCAAGTCTACACACCAACCAAAATGGTTACTCTGACACGTAAATCCGTTTTTTTCCCCAAAACTGTAGAGAATTATTCCCAGGAAGGGCACCTACCTTCTCCACATCAGCTTTCTTTTCTGTGAGAAGAGCTACCGTTCTTTTATAAGCATCATTAATAAGTATTCGTACTTCGTCATCTATCAGTCTTGCAGTGGCTTCACTGTAAGGTTTCTCCAATACCATGTCCCCTTGGCGTGGGAGGTCAAAGGAGATTTGCCCAACTTTCTCATTCATGCCAAACTGAACAATCTGAAAAATGTATGATTTGTAGTGGTTATAAAGAATTGCTCTTTAACCTGACAAAGTCTCCACAGTGGCCTGGAAATGGCCAAGTGGACAAAAGTGTTCTGCGTCGTTGGTGGCAGTAGCGAGACACTGTGCTTTAAATTCGTTTAAAGACAGAGCCAGAAGCCCACAGACAACAACTGCGATAAAACCACATAACAGGTGGCAACAAATCTCAACAGTCCTAGAAATGACATGACATTACCATTCATCGCATGGAAAGCAGAGGAGAAGCAAGAAGCATCTAACAGACCTGGGAAAATAACTTCAGGCTACCAACAGGCTCCTCCTGGACAGAGTGGCACAGGTGAAACTAGAATGGGTGTTTGCATTTTCCTGTTCACACTTAGTCCATGAGGCACAGGGGATAGGGTGATGAGGCTGACCTAGCGTGGACCCTATGAGCCCCCAAAACTAACCAACACATTAGAAAGAAGCTTCTTCAAGCAAAATCCAAACTGACTAGAAAAGAGAAGGCCCAGATAAAAGTGAGGAATGAGAACAGAACCAAGAGCGCTGAGAAAGGAGGAAGCCACGTTTTCCAACACATCATGAAAACAGAAAGGCGAACTTTAAAGCTGTGAAGCTAGAGAAGCTGTCCTAATCTTCCTCCCTCCTAAGACATCAGCAAAACAAATTTCATGCAAAAATAGGCGCAGTGGTTCACGCCTGTAATCCCAGCACTTTGGGAGGCTGAGGCAGAAGGATTGCTTGAACCCAGGAGTTTGAGACCAGCCTGGCCAATACAGCAAGACATCTTTATTAAAAAATCAAAATATTGGCTGGGCATGGCGGTACACGGCTATAGTCCCAGATACTTGGGAAGCTGAGATGTATTGTCTGAACCCAGGAGGTTGAGGCTCCTGTGATCATGCCACTGCATCCATCCTGGGAAACAGAGTGAGACACCTGACTCAAAAAATAAAAATAAATTAAAAATAGGCAATAGAAAATATAAAGTTGTTATGAGAAAAAAACAGAATCACATTGCCAAAGATAAGAAAAGTGGGATGAAAAGACATGTCAATATAACAGGAAAACTGTAACTTACATCAAAAAATGGCAAAAAGTAATCAGGAAAATGACAGATAATATGGAAGAGCTACATAAATTAGAATTTAAAAAACTTAGATGAGTTACCAGAAAAAATACACATAAAAAAGAAAAATTATTATTATTATTATTATTATTTTTTGAGTTGGAGTCTCACTCTGTCACCCAGACTGGAGTGCAGTGGCTGCGCCCAGCCACCGCAGCCTGGACCTGCTGGGCTCCGGCAATCTTTCTGCCTCAGCCTTCCAAGTAGCCGGAATTACCGGCGCGCGCTACCACGCCCAGCTGATTTTTTGATTTACTGTAGAGATGAGGTCTCGCTGCCCAGGTGGGTCTCGAACCCACGGGCTCAGGCAATCCACTCACCTCAGCCTCCCAAAGGCACAGGATTACAGGCTGAGCCACCGAGCCCAGCTGAAAAATTATTTTTAAAATGAAGACTAAACTAAAGGAAACAAAAGCAAATAATCATAACAGATAATGCCCTAAGGGAAATATATAAGATAAGAGACAAATAACAAAAAATTTTAATGAGGTATATGAAAAAGGACTTGAGAAAGCAACAGACACAGAAGACAGGCAGAGCTCACATGTGAATAACAGAAGGTTCCGAGTCATTTTATCAAGTTCAGACAGCACACTCTATTGTTTGGGCATGTAGGCACCAGGGTTAAAACTTAGAGAGGGGGAGGAATGACTAACAATTCAGAAGAAGCGTGAGCATTACCAGCGGGACAGGAGAGACTGTGAAGAAGGAGGGGCAGTGTTTATGGGGTCACACGGGTTCATAATGAACTCTACACATATGCTTTATAAAATCTTAGGAAATAAACTTTCAATCCAGTACTGCAAAAAACAGTTTCTTTTCATAAGTTTTGAATTCTTTGAAATGGATTTCTTTTCAGGAACAATCCTTCCTAAAAAGCCTACAACAGTCAAACACAATAGTGCTCTTTCAGAGCCAGTCATGAAAGCCAATTTATCATGCAAAGATTTAAACATGAAGAAGAAATACTCTATTTCACACACTTACCTGGGCATATGCACTCTGAGTTACTTTCCTCAAGTCGTCTTGAGCACCAGTCGTAATTCTTCCAAAGAAGATTTCTTCTGAGACTCGACCACCTAACGTCATACACATCCTATCCAAGAGCTGTTCTTTGGTATATAGGTATTGTTCTTTTGGTAAATACTGAGCATAACCTAATCCTTTGCCACGTGGGATGATGGATACCTGTTAAGTAAGAAATGTACACAATGTTGAAGATCCTACTACCAAATGCAGACTTGATCAAAACATGTCTCTAGATAGATAAATTCCCTGACTAAAAATAAGTACACTAGCTGGGCAATCCATTCTTGTCTTTTTGTAAAGTTCAACTGAAAGTGTTCAGTCTTGACAAAAGAACCCCTAGTAAGTGATGATAGGTCCATTCTGGCAGCTGAAAGCCCATGCAGGCTTGATTCAACTCTGCTGCCCAGCAGTCATTTTCCTTTCTAGTCTTCTTTTACAATTAAGTAAATTCCTTTAATTTTAAAGAATAACTTTATTGAGGAATAACCATATACAGCACAATGCATCAGTTTCACTTGCAGGGTTCAACGAATCTTGACAAACGTAACCTCCAACCACAATGATGATGCAAAATATTCTCATCATGCCCAGAAAGTTCCCTCATACTCCCTGGTATTGAGTGTTTCCCTATATGCCTAGCCCTCAGGCAAACACAGACATGCTTCCGGTCTCTACAGTACTGCCTCTAGAAGTGGATATTCATGGAATCATATAGTATGTACTGCACCATGTCTGGTTTCTGTTTTGAGGTTCATCCATACTGTTGTGCGTATTAGTAGCTTGTTCGTTTTTAGTGCTGTGTGGCAGTCCACTGTATAAACATACCCAATAGTCCGTTTCATTTTATGGACATCAGGTTTGTTTTCAGTTTGCTGATATCACAAATGAAGCCGCAGCATATGTTTTCATTCTCTTGAATGAATATCTAAGAGTGGGGTTGTTTGGTCACACGGAAGTGTTTACTTTTACAAGAGACCACCGAACTGCTGACATGGGTGTGCCATTTTGCATTCCCACAGCTACATGTGAGCATTACAACTGCTCTCCACCCTCATCAACACTTAAGACTGTCTTTTCAATTCTAAACATTCCAGTGAGTGCGATCTGGTATCCCACTATGGTTTAATTTGCATTTCCCCAATGACTAACGACACCATCTTCGACTAATGACACCATCTTCGTGTGCTTACTGCCTATTCACAAACCTTCTTCTGTGAAGTGTATGTTCAAACCTGTTATCCATTGTTTTACTGGGTTGCTTGTTTTCTTCCTACTGAGTTTTAAGAGTTTTTCATATATTCTAGATACAAGTCTTTTTTTGTCCTGTATATGAAATACAAATATTTTCAGAGTGTGTGGCTTGCTTTTTCATTTTCTTACCTATCTTTCAAAAAGAGTTTTAAATTTTGAAGAGATTCCCATCTACCAACTTTTCTTTTTGTGGTTTATGCTTTTTTGTGTCCTCAGAAATTTTTTCATACTCAAGGCCACAAAGATTTTTGCTGCAAAGTTTTATAGTGTTAGCTTTTATGATCTATTTCAATTTAGTTTTTTTGCATATGCTGTAAGGATTAATGTTCACTTTTTAAATATGAATAGTGAGTTGTCAGAGCCACCAACTGATAAGACAATCCTCCCCCTTGAAGTACTCTGATACCTCTCTTGAAATCAACTAACCAAATGTGGATGGGTCTCCTTCCATACTCTGCTCTGCCCATGTATCTAATACCAGTCCTTTCGCCAGCACTACAGTCTCATCACTGGGGCTGTGTACAGTCCGAAAATCAGATACAGTAACCCCTTAAACTTAACTGTTTTGGCTATTCTGGCTTATCTGTATTTTCATATAAATTTTAGATTCAGCCTCTGGATTTCCAAAAAAAAAAAATCTGTAATCATAAAAGACTTCACTGAAACATCAATGGGGAGAAATGACATAACATTCCATGAACAGTCTATTTCTATTTTAATTTGGGTCTTGTTTATTTCAAAGTACAGGCCCTATAAATATTTTCTTAAATTTATCCCTCCATATTTCATGTTCTGGATGCTATTAAAAATGAAAGTGGATTTTTAAAATTTCATTTTCTAATTGTTCATTGCTAATACCAAGAAATACAGCCGGTCTTTGTATAATGACCTTGAATTTTGCAACCTTGCTAACTTCACTTATTAATTTTAGCAGCTTCTTTCCAGATTATTTAGGATGTTTTATTTACCAGGAGGCCCTCAAAAAACCTGGAATTTATCTATTAAAAAATCGTGTATTTAGTCTTACTTGTATAAACTCCGGTCACCCTCAAAGTACTCTCCATTTGATGCAATACACCTACCAAGACATTTTTTCCACTGCTCAAAACAGTTTTTGAACGTGTCAATTTGATGCCTTTTAGTGCTTCTGCCATTTTTTGTTTCATCTCTTCTACACCAGCAAAATGTTTCCTTTTGAAGAATTTTTTTATCCAGGAAAACAAAAAATCGCTTGGGGCAACACTGGGTGAATGGGAGGGGTGGGACATGGGACATGCCGTTTTTCGGTCAGAAACTGCGGAAAACTCCATATGGTGTTGGCAGGCGCATTGTCATGGTAAAAGAACCAGTCACCTATTTGCCACAATTCAGGATGTTTCTTCTGCTAATCGGGACACAACCTTCTTAAAACTACCAGATAAAAATTTTGGTAGTTTGATCCGGAGGAACAAATTCCAAGTGTACTACAAGGGACCTGCCCTCCAAAAGATAATTGTGGGGTTTTTTGGGGTCCCCCTTATACATTCTAATGCTGTTTTCTCTGTGGTTCTCTTGCTTCAGAAGATCCCTCTTGATTCCCAGCTACACTGATATCAGAAAGCAGTTAGGCAGTTGCCTTATGTCACCTGTGCTGTGCTGTGCTGGTTTGAGGAATGTACTCAGTTGAAAAGCACAAAACGTAAATCTACCCTGTCTTTCAGGGGTTAGATTTCTTTCATGTCTGTTTATTTTTTGGCCAGGCTCTTTGGAGCCACCCCTGTGCATGTGTGGCTTAGGAGTCAGCCAGGGATTTGAGCAGCTTCTGCTCAGATTTGGGTCTCATCCATGTGTAGTTTTTTCACTTCTGAGATTTTCCTGTTAAATTTTCAGTAGTCTTCAAATCCTGGGACTACCTACTCTGCCACCTCAAGATGGTAAGGCCAAGGTCTTCCATCACTGTAGTGTGGAGATTACAGAAAATTCTCATGCAAGAAAGTCACAAACTCCCATTGTGAACCCACTGCAGCTGCTGCTTTTTAAAAGTAAACTCTCTTCCAGCTTTGGTCCGCTTTTGGATACTTTTCGATCCCCTTAATTTTCTGTTCACATTTTATAACTTATCTGCAGGCAGTTTGTGTAATGCTTTATTCACTCATTGTTACCAAAAGTTTTTGCTAAAGTCTTTTAAAGTTAAGCATCTTATATGTTTCTCTTTTGTGGAGTACAACCTTCTCCTTGAGTAACTGCAGTCAAGTAATTGCTCAAACATGAGCTGGCCTGCCTAGCGTCCAACACAAACTGCTTCACCTTTAAGAGTGGGTCTGCATGTTCCAGATACCAGCCGGCAACTGCGTGACCTGCTTCATGGTATGCCACAGTCTTCTTCTCCTCGGGTTGCAAAACCTGGGTTTTTTTCTCTAAGCCTAACAAAATAATAACAAAAATCCCAAGTACTGTTTTAGTGACACTGACGTTAAAAGACAGTTATACAATGCTATATATTGCCTTACCTAAAATGGGACTTAGAGACTGAGCTGCCTATGGCAATTCAAAAATTCCCAGTCAGGATCAGAATAAAAACAAAAGGTCAAGTTTAAAATACACCCAACAGCTGGGCGTGGTGGTTCATGCCTGCAATCCCAGCACTTTGGGAGGTGGAGGTGAAAGGATCACCTGAGTCCAAGAGTTTGAAGCTGCAGTGACCTGTGATGGGCACCACCACCACCTGGGCAACAGAGTGCGATCCTGTCCCTAAAAAACAAAACATACCCACCCACAGCAAAAATGCACTCACTTCTCCTACCCCCCAGCCCACTTTTATCCTAACTCTCCTACTCTTTCAAGCCACATATCCTATTTGAGGAAACAAATAGACTTGTAAAGTCAAATTCAGCATTTAGGTCAATTTAAAACATATAAAACTCAGAGGAAACAAAGAACTCTGGAAAGATCTGCATTGCTTAGTCCAGGCTATGGGTAAATAAAGGCACCTGCCATGAGAGAACAACTGTCATCTGCTCCTGAGGGAAGGCAGCCAAGAGTCAGAGAAAGCACTGAGCCAGGTAAAGATCTGGAAATACCTATCTGGAGCTGGCAAGACCAATGCTAGAGCACAAGCACCCGCACACTCACCAGCCAGCTCAGGATTCAAAGAGTTAGCCACACAGTGGCAGGGCAGACCCAAGGAAGCAACCAAGACACGGGGCCCAAAGACCCCTGCCAGAGCCTGCTGGACTATAGTGCTGAAGGGATTCCAATCTGACAGAATTCTTCTTGGGCCTCATTTCTTACCTCTGTAGTGTAAAAACTGTCTATCGTTTATAATACAAATCATCACACCCCAAAAAATACAGTTTTGTTGTGTTCAAGGCAACTCATCTGAGAGAATCGACCCAAGTTATGCCACAGAGCTACCCGGACTGAAAGTAACAAATCCTGTTTTCCACTTCTGGCATATCTGAAAAAAGCAAAAGAACTTTCCCCACAGTTCCTTGCAGGTGTCTTTCATTTTCCCAGTGTGCCACCTCCTTATAAAACAGCTGCAGCAGCTACTGTTCTCTTTCCCACCCTCACTGATCATGGCTGCTTCTTGAGCTAAAACAGGTGCAAATGTGTAGTTTTCACCTGTCTCTAAAGCGAATTATTTTGTTTAGTCCATCCACAACTCTATCATCCTTTTTTTTCCTTTTCAGTAATAAATTTACAGAACAAGTGGTCTATTAACTCATTCAATAATGAGTTGTCTACTTAGCACCTGACCAAGTCTGAGCACGCTGCTGTACCAGCTTCTACCTGCACTGGAAGCATCACTAACCTGGTTCTGTACTCCCCACCCAGCTGACACAGCCTCACTGCCAAGTCCCAAGGCCCTTATCCTTCACGTTCCTGCATCACTTGACCCTACAGGTCACTCCTGTGGGAACCTGCTCCTGGAACACGCTTGCTCACCTGCCCCATCCCACTCAGCTCCCTCTGGAACCATCACCACCAGCCCCTGAGTTCCACATGACATCCTGCTCTGGCTCTAACTCAGCACATCTCCATCTCTGCTGAACTGGCACCTCTGGGAGCACCCCGTTCCCTCTCTGGCCTCCACGTCTGTCTGTATTTTGCCTGTTGTCACTGGTGCTCCCCACGCTACACCTGCTAGCTCACAATGATGGTTCTCTGCCTCGGCATACTTCCCACCTCATTGAAGCCAGATTCATTTTCCCAAAATATCACTGATAATTAAGTTAATCAATAACTCAAAAAAAGGAAGCCCGTCTTAGCCATGTTGGCCACAGGACAAACCTTAAGAAGCTCTTCAGCTTAATATAAACAAGGCTTTCAAAAATCCAGACTTCAATAACTTTCTTTCAGCCTTACCTTACTTTGCCCCAGGAATGTGTGTCTGACCAGTTTGCTTTTCCTCCCTAGACACAGGGTGTAACTCCACCACCTCCAAACTCTTTTCCATGCAAGCCACTTCATGCCATATCTGCTTTTCTATTGAGTTCGTGGGCATCCTTCCTCTTCTGCAGAGCCTGGCCCGGTCACAGCATTTCTCCCTCCTTGAATTGCCCAAGTACTTGAATTGCTAGTTGACTTTTGGGGATTAAATTTTAAGATCTAAGGAAAACACTGCATGCGTTCCCACTGTGCTGACTGAGAGTAAGCATCCCTTGGCTACACAGTTGCCGCAGCTGCTTTATATCTATCACCCATAACTAGGACAGCGTACACTTAGCTCATGGGATGGAACTTCTGGAAACATGAAGGTTGTGAGCTTTTAACAAAACTTGATTTTTATCATTCAGGGGTACCTCACCTCGCTCCCTGTGCAGGAAAGGCACAGGTAAGCTGCCACCTCAGACTCACCCCACACCATTAAACACCATATCATACAGAGGGCAAGGGGAGGCAAGGCAAGGGGGACCAGTGTGCAACCAAGCACACATGGTGAGTGAGCACTGGGGCTGGGTGAATACGCTTTTTTTGCTTCTGTATCTTGCCAAAACAGAGAAATTCTGGCTTTAAGTTCATTTTATCAGGCTTTCTATTTGAGTTACATTCAGTTGCCTTACCACCAATCACTCGTTCGATTGCTTGTTCAAAGTGTTTCTGATTGATGGAATCTGAAAGGTGCCTCGCAGCAATCAAAGCAGCTTCATTACAGACATTAGCAACATCAGCTCCTACAAAATGAACATGCAGAACAGCTTACCCACCAAAATATGCTCAAGCTGACTGGTCACACACGATGGATGACCAAATCCAGATTAATTTTTTAATCAGCAGTAGATTGGATAAGGGTTTTATAAAAATAACCCTATGCTATTTAATTCTAGCATTTAGTACTAGCCTGGTACAATTCTGGCCCTCTGAACTGAGATGAAAGTATTAGTAGTAAATAGTGAATTACAGACAAATGTTTACTTTAACAGATAATATGGCTCACATATCAGCAAACTAAGACAGCATTTAAAAATACTCATTAAGTAACTTAGTTCCACCATCTCTGTTGGGAAAATAACTTGTGTGGAAATTAGGCAATATGCTGACATATGACGAAAACCCAAGCATTACTCACCAAGTACATTCAGTGAAACAACTAAATTTAAATACAGTTAAAAGCTTGCCAGGCTCCGTGGTTCAGCCTGTAATCCCGCGCTTTGGGAGGCCGAGGTGAGTGAATTGCCTGAGCCCGCGGGTTCGAGACTCGCCTGGGCAACTTGGCGAGCCCTCATCTCTACAATAGATCAAAAAAATTAGCCAGGCGTGGTAGCGCATGCCTGTAATTCCAGCTACTTGGAAGGCTGAGGCGGAAGGAAAGCTGGAGCCCAGCAGGTCAAGGCTGCAGTGGCTGGGAGCAGCCACTGCACTCTAGTCTGGGTGACTGTGTGAGACTCCAACTCAAAAATAAAAAATTTTTTAAAAAAAGCTTGCCAGATTTTTTTTTTAGATCCATAAGTCTTTTTAAATTAATTCTTCAGTTATACGGTAACACAAATAAGCTATACCACACTGTATGTGCTCAATAAACAAATATTAAAACAGTATAAATTTCAAAGTCCTAAGAAATAAGTAAAAGACATTTCAGATGATCATCTTCTGACCACACCAATTGTATATATTCTCATACTTCTCAAATGTTCCTTTTTATTTCAAGTTTAGAAGGAGGGAGACAGGGAATGAGAAAGCATCACATTGTACAGTTAAGGAAATCTCTTGGGATAAGAGTATAAAAAGATGCTCAACATCACTAGTCACTAGACAAATGAAAATCAAAACCGCAATGACATGCCACTTCACACCAACTAGGATGGCTATAATCAGACAGATGATAACAGTGTTGGTGAGGATGTAGAGAAAATGGAACCCTTGCACACTGCTGGTGGAATGTAAAATGGCATAGGAACTTGAAAAATAGTCTTGAAGTTTCTCAAAAGGTTAAACATAGTTATCATAAGACCTAACAATTCCACTTCTAGGTATATAACCAAGAGAAATAAAAATGTAGGTCCACAGAAAAATCTGTATACCCGTGTCCATGGCAGCATTATTCACAACAGCCAAAAGACAGAAACAACCCCAATATCCATCAAGTGATGAATGAATAAATAAGATGTGGAATATCCTAACAATGGAATATTACTTGGCCATGAAAAGGAACAAAGTTTTGATGGCTGCTACAATATGGATCAACCCTAAAAATATCATGCTAAGTAAGCATAAACCAGGCCCAAAAGACTACATGTTGCATGATTCCATTTATATAAAACGTCCTGAATGGGAAAATCTGTAAAGACAAAAAGTACATTGGGGTTGTCTAGAGCTGGGAATGGAGGAAGTGGCCGCCAATGGTTCTTTCGAGATGACAAAATATTTAAAACTCACATTATAGTAATGGATGCCCAACTCTATAAATATACCAAAAACCACTGAACTGTACACTTTATATAGGTGATTTTTATGGTATGTTAATAAAAGAAAAAAAACTTAGGGTCTGGGCATGGTGGCTCATGTCCATAATCCCAGCACTTTGGGAGGCCAAGGTGGAAGGACTGCTTGAGTCCAGGAGTTCAAGACCAACCTGGGCAACATAACAAGACTTCGTCTCTAAAAAAAGAAGCCAGGCATGGTAGCTGCAGCTACTTGGGAGGATCGCCTGAGTCCAGGAGTTTGAGGTTGTGGTGAGCTATGATCATGCCACTGCGCTCCAGCCTGGGTGACAGAGTGAGGCTCCCAACTCAAAACAAACAAACATAAACACTTAGGAATAATTCCTAGCATATTTATGGGAAAAAGAAATGATGTTATCAGAAACTTGTCACAAAATACAAAAAAGGAAGCAGGAAGAGGATAGGGATATGGATAAAATAAGGTTGGGTGTGAATTAGTAACCATTCCTGAAACTAAGTGATAGGTACAGACAAATTGACTACACTGTATGTTTGAAATTTCTCATGTTAAGAAAGTAAAAATCTAGGCCAGGCTCGGTGGTTCAGCCTGCAATCCCAGCACTTTGGAAGGCCAAGGTGAGTGGATTGCCTGAAAACAGAAAATTAGCCGGGTGTGGTAGTGCCTATAGTTCCAGCTACTTGGAAAGCTGAGGCAGAAGGATTGCTGGAGCCCAGCAGGTCAGTGCTGGGGTGGCTATGAGTATGCCACTGCATTCGCCTGGGCAACAGAGTGAGACTCCAACTCAAAAAAAAAAAAAAAAGAAGAAAGCAAAAATCCATATTTAGAAAGCCCCAAAGTGAAGAGGTAACCAAGTGAACTGTTACCTGATTTAAAAGCATGTGCTGGGTGCAGTGGCGCAGCCTGTAATCCTAGCACGTTGGGAGGCCAAGGCAAGAAGACTGCCTGGGCCCTGGGTTCGAGACCAGCCTGGGCAACTTGGTGAGACCTCATCTCTACAATAAATCACAAAAACTAGCTGGGCATGGTGGCATGTGTCTATAGTTCCAGCTACTTGGAAGGCTGAAGCAAAAGGATTGCCTGAGCCCAGCAGGTCGAGGCTGCAGTGGCCGTGAATGTGCCACTGCACTCCATCCTTGGTGACAGAGACTACAATTAAAAATAAAATAAGAGTAGGACGGCAGTCATTTTCCACTCACCTGAAAACCCTGGAGTTAAGGATGCCAGTTTTCTTGCTAGTTTCTCCTTCTCCAGGGTACTGTCCAGTTTTAGTGGCCGGAGGTGAACTTTGAAAATAGAGGCTCTTCCTTTAATGTCTGGTGGTCCTTTAGAAATTATTTTCAAGGAAACAAAAAACCATAGTGAAATATCACACTGAAACCCATGAGCACTGGATCAAACCCAGTGAATGTCATCTCACCAATAAAGATCTGCCTGTCGAAGCGCCCCGGCCTCAGAAGTGCAGGGTCTAGGATATCTGGTCTATTGGTGCCCGCCAAAATGACGACATTTGTCGTCGTGTTAAAACCTGAAAAGATGATAACAAAAAGCAATCATGATTAAATGACAAGTGGCAGAAGGCAACAGTGCGCCTGTCAAGAATGCATAGCTATACTTTTCAATTCATTATCCAGCAATTTTTTTTTTGAAACGCAGGATTTATTGAGGACACAAAAGCTCCCACAATGGAAGGGGACCCGAGGGGATTGCCCCATTATCCAGAAGTTTTTAAATCACAAACTTGAATTATTTTTCTTACCTTTAATCTTGTCCTTATTGATAACAATCACATATTAGACTTAAAAGTTTTAAAAATTAATTTCCTAAAGACAAATGACCAAATATTTTATTTTCTCTAACTGGAAATTTAGAAGATGTCAATTTTATTTATTTATCTTATTTTAAGAATGTGGGGTATAATTCAGGACTAGGTATACAAATAGTCATTGTACAGATAAAGTTTGGGCCTCACTTTGGTTTCCACTTCACCTGGCTTGAGATCAGGTGCTCTTATTGATGAAGTGTGCCCCCCACCGCCCTGACAGTTTCCCTCTACTGCCAATTCCTTTTTTTTTTTTTTTAGTTGGAGTCTCACTCTATCGCCCAGGCTGGAGTGCAGTGGTACACTCATGGCCACTCCAGCGTCGACCCACTGGGCTCCAGCAATTCTTCCGCCTTAGTCTTCCAAGGAGCCGGAACTATAGGCATGCACTACCACGCCTGGCTAATTTTTTGGTTTATTGTAGAGACGAGGTCTCGCCAAGTTGCCCGGACTGGTCTCAAACCCCTGGGTTCAGGCAATCCACTTGTCTCGGCCTTCCAAAATGCTGGGATTACAGGCTGAGCCACTGAACCTGGCCCCCAATCTTTTATAGTATTAAGATCATTGTTCAGGGTCTGCTTATGAATGAGAACATGTGGCACTCAGTTCTTTGTTTCTGTGATAGATCACTGAGTATTACAGACTCTAAATCCATCCAAGTTGCTCTGAAGTTCATAATTTTGATGTTGTCGATTTTAAAAGTGTTTTAAGCTCAGATTAAATCTGCAAATAACAGACTGACTCACTGTGCAGATGGAGTCAACTGCCCATTCAAAGACAGGTATCAACTTCCACTCCCACCTCGTCTCTAGACGCAAGACACTCAGCATCATTAGCCATTTCTCAGTGTGAATGCCATTGCCCCAGACCCTGCACCCTCAGATCCTGGCACTGCAAGGACTCACGGGTGGATCTACCCATATGTGGCACTCGATCTGGACACAGCACTGTAAACGGGCTACCATCATGTAACAGAGGAGGATCTCCACGCTCCTATTCTGAAACTCTGCCTGGCTTCATCATCTAAGCCAGCTCAGTATTGGCACTATGCTTTCCTTTTCTGCACAAACAACCAAGAGTCCACATATCTTCCAGTAGGAAGGACACGTCATATCTTGAGAACTGGCTTTCCTAAATGAGGAAAGCTGACTGGCAAGGAAAGATCGCTACTCTGAGTAAAAAAAAAAAAAATCACCCTTGGTTAGGTTTAGGTATTCCTTATCTTCAGAAACACTAATGATTAGAGAGTGAGACCATAATTCTTTTGAGAATCATTTCACCCGTTTTCCTCTTATTCAGCACTAGGTGCAAACACCAATGATAAGTTATGGCAGGCTGCCAGGCAAGGATATTTTGCTATTATTTGTGCTGGTATAAAAGAACCTTTTAAAAGAGCTGTTTTAGAGGATACTTTTTTTGTTTTTGAGACTCCAAATTTGAATATGGATTCTCATTTTAGAGATACGAGACAATTAGCAAGTGCAGTTTAATATACAGAAGATGGGGGTGTGTGAAAAAAATAAAATAAAATACAGAAGACTTCACTATTCACCGTCCATCTCCACAAGCAGCTGATTGAGCGTGTTTTCCTGCTCACTCTGCCCTCCGAAGTTGCCTCTTCCTCTCTTCCTTCCCACTGCATCTATTTCATCAATGAAGAGAATACAAGGGGCATTCTTCCGAGCAAGGGCAAATAAGTCTCGGACCTGATAAAAAACAGAAATATGAGTTACTTGACTAGTAATTATTTATCCTCCAAATAAAAAATAAACCTCAAGCCCCATATGAAGACAATATTTTTGTGCCACACATTGTACAGCACTTAAAAAGAGCTGCAAGCAGCAAAGAAGTAGCGAATGATTAGTAACTTGGTGGGTAACAGATCTAAAGTGAGCAAATATTATTTCTCAAATCTCATAAATCATTGCATGTATAATAAACACTGATAATGTCTGCCATTTCTGTAATATCAACAAGTTGCCATTGTATGCCTACCCTACAAAGACAACCAAGTTGACAATAAAGCGGTCAATTTTACATTCAGATGAAATGTTCAGTTTTTTCCAAGGCTCACTCATCTCTCCTGCCTAGGGCAGTTGTTAACAAGCAGAGACTACTAATAGGTCTATGCAGTCTTACACAGACAGTGAAGGTGAGGACTCTCCAAGTCCACCAGCTTATCAACAAAGAGGGGGTGACAGTACCCTGCTTGCAGCCCTCCTACCCACAGACTGTCCCGCTAGCGTGTCCCCTCAGCCACAGTTGAGGTACATAGGCGTCATTTCCGTGCCTCACCATCAGTCACCTGCTCCTTCTAAGAGTCAGAGACAGACTCCCTCCACCTCATGTCCCTTTTTACTCCAAGTCTCCCCATCATCCTTTCCTGCCTGCATTTCCAGATTCTCATTCCTACACTGCTCGGAACACATCCTCTGATATGACCTGTGTCCCTCTGCAGTGTCCTCAAACTAAGGATCTGTGACCAACAGCCCCCACACTCTCAAGATTGCCGCAGAATGTGTCCGTCACTTCCCTGCAAAGTCCCCAAGCAGAAGGAGTTTGTATCTTTCCCTCAGATCAGCTGGAGTGAGGGGGTCTGCCTTACTACTGCTGCCAAAATGGAATGCTGGAATAGCCCCCTGCTCACCGAGGCTCACACCAGGTGGGAGGCATCTACCCTGCTTTGCCGTGGTCCTCTGCTGGCCTGGTTCCTTGCCTAGCACTATTTTTCAGTGACTTCCACATCTATGTGGTTTTTGTTCTCTCAGCTCCCTGACCACCTCTTCAGTCACCTTTTGTTCTACTCTGACAAGACTAGCACTGCCAAGGTGCCCCTAAGCAACCAGCTTCAAGCCATCCATGCTCTGACTACCCTCTCCTATCATCTAGGCAGCCAAGCATCTCACATGACCAATTCTTTTTTTAAACATCTCACTGATTTTAAAAATTGAGGTAAAATATGCATAATCTAAAATGTACCATTTTAACTGTCTTAAAGTGTACAACTCAGTGGCTTTTAGTACATTCATGATGTTACACTACCATCACCAACATCTACTTTTAAAACATATGATCACTTCCCACCTCCCTCAAAAAACCCATACGCATGAAGCAGTCACTTCTCAGGTCCTTAGCAACCTCTGCTTTCTGACACGACCAATTCTTTACCTACTTCCCAGCTACCAACCCACCAGGCCAACCCTTTCCCACCAACCATGGCTCCTCTCCTATCTTCAAGTTCCCCTCATCTGCCCATGGTCCCCAGTGCTCCCCTGTGTTTCTAAGACGTATCTGCCTTGCAAAACCCAGATGAATCTATGTACTCCACCTACTACAGGTCATCTAATCTAAGAAGCCATCAACGGAAAGATTCACCATTACTATGCTTGGCACTAAGAAAGAAAAGCACGCTACTGACTGAGGACACAGTGCTTTCTTACTGGTTGTGAGTTGTACTGTGATGTCTGCAAAAGTAACTGTGATAGCATACTGCATTTCTGTAGCATTTGTTTAAGTCAGCATTTTAGACACTGGTGAAACACACAACAGTAACAATTACATGTTTCTTTAAAAGTTAAACCATACTCACACTTCTTGATTTCAAAACTTACTACAAAGCAACAGTAATCAGTTGGGCTCGGTGGCTCAGCCTGTGATCCCATGCCTTGGGAGGCTGAGGTTAGTGGATTGCCTGAGCCCGCGGGTTCGAGACCCGCCTAGGCAACTTGGAGAGACCTCATCTCTACAATAAATCAAAAAATTAGCCGGGTGTGGTAGCGCGCCTGTAGTTCCAGCTACTTGGAAGGCTGAGGCGGAAGGATCGCCAGAGCCCAGCAGGTCGAGGCTGCGGTGGCCAGGAGCGGCCACTGCACTCCAGTCTGGGCGACAGAGTGAAACTCCAACTCAAAAAAAAAAAAAATGAGCAACAATAATCAAGACAGTATAGTACTGGCATAAGGACAGACACACAGATCAATAGAATGGAATTCAGAATCCAGAAATAACCCATGTATCTATCTATGGTCATCGGTGCCAAGATTTCTGAATGGGTGAAAAACATTCTTTTCAACAAACAGTACTGAGAAAAGTAAATGTCCACATGCAAGAATGAGGTTGGAGCCTTGGCCTTAGTCTTAGTCCAGGAAGTGACTTAGCAAGGCAGTGACTGCTGAGAGGTCACTCCGGGCATCCCAGGGGATGGGGCCATCTTCACCAAGTCCTCATCTAGGGGGAACTGCTGGGGGTAAGGAAGCTGCACCATCAGAACAGAACAAGACTTACTCTAGCTGGGCCCACACCAACAAACATCTCCAAAAACTCGGATCCACTGACGGTAATGAAGGGGACGTTGGCTTCTCCAGCTGTGGCCTTAGCCAGCAGTGTCTTCCCAGTGCCTGGAGGACCAGTAAGGATGGCACCCTTCAGATATACAAAATAGAAAGTACATTTCATGAGAATTTCAGAAAAGTAAATTGAGTACTCACAGATAATTCCAAGGTATAACTCTATCTCTAAATCCTATTAATGCATAATAAATATTTCTTAAATATTTGAATTATGATAGAACATTTTCATATCAGTAAGAAGACTAAAGAAAAGAGTTATTAGAAACAATTTTGTCTCAAAAAATTTGGTGTGAAATCTTAAATACTTCTCTTATTTTAAAACTTTTTTTTTGTAGTTGGAGGCTCACTCCATTGCCCAGGCTCTAGAGTGCAGTGGCACGCTCATGGCCACCCAAGCGTCAACCTGCTGGGCTCAGGTGATCTTTCCGCCTCAGCCTTCCAAGTAGCCAGAACTATAGGTGTATGCTACCTGGCTAATTTTTTTTTTTTAATTGTAGAAACGAGGTTTCACCAAGTTGTCCAGGCTGGTCTTGAATCCCTGGGCTCAGGCAAGCCTCTCACCTCAGCCTCCCAAAGTGCTAGGCTTGAGCCCCTGCACCCAGCCTTATAACATTTTTAAGTGCTGCTTTATTAAGACCTTTAGTCTAACAGCATATAAAGGGTGACTTATGCTAGGCTCTACCAATAAACCCACTGACATTTACTTAAATAATTCAAGAAGACACAAACACCACTCTCCCAAATTTATATAATTCTTTTACTCTTTACAAACAACACTGGTTTTTTTTTTTAAACCCAAATAATTAATAAGCCCAACCACTAACTTGTATAGTCATGTACAAGTCAGCACATTTTTAGTATGAATGAACATGTCTGACTGAAAACCTAACTATGAATTTGCATTTCTGTTTCTTTCCATTGACTACCTCTTCTTTATAAATATTTTATAAATGTTCTCTCTTTTTTATAAATAGATACGCTACCATACTACTGTTTCCAAATACTGTGTATGGGGAGGTAGATAATATGATCAAAAGATATTTTTTCCCAGACATTCTAATACAATTTTAAGGTACTTTAAAACTTTGCTTATTTTCTTCTTTAAACATTTCACAAGTGAAGTAAAAATCTAACGACCAATGATGAACTTAACTAAAAGTAAAAAATGTGCTTGGTCAAACAATATAGAACTATTATATTAAGTTGTAGGGATACCCAGATAGGATGTGAATGCATATAAGTTATAAATGAATTATAAAACCATAAAATACACCTTTTTATCCACATAAGCAGGACATAAAAATTAAAGAAATGATGGTTCTCTTCACAGAGAATTCCTTTAAAGTAAACTTTATTAATGGATTGTAAAAAGAATTAGTTAAACATTGTTATTCATTTATTTAACAGCTGATCCATTCAACAAATATGAAGTTACTGTTCTGTGCCTAGCCCTGGGAATACAAAGCCCAGTAAGGCTCGGGCCTGTCACCAGCACAGGCAGACAGATGGCCCACATACATATGAGGGAACACTGAGTGAAAGCAGAATATGACTTGCTCAAGAAAATATACAGGGGAGGCATGGTTGCTGAGAGACAGGGTGTCTAAATCAGACTGAAGGGAGAAGGAAGGTGAATCAACGAAGGCTTCTAAGAGCAGATAACATACACGCTCAGGAATACGCATGCTACTTGCAAGATACATTCACACAGAAAAACTGACCCAAAAGGACCCTCGAGTTAGGCAGAGGCAGATTAGTAAATTAAGAAAGAGTAAGGATAGAAAACCAGCTACTATAATACATAACCAAACTTCATAAAATTCCAACATTGGAGGTCAAGAAATACTTTGATTGGGTTAATCTTCTAAAAGTTCATTTTACCTTAGGGATTTTTGCTCCTAGGTCTTGATACTGCTTTGGGTTTTTTAAGAAATTTACAAATTCCATGATCTCTAGCTTGGCCTCCTCACAGCCAGCCACATCTTTGAACTTCACATCAATCTCATCCTTTAAGACCTTGGCAGTGGTTTCTCCAACACTGAAGAGTCCACCCATCCCTCGGCCTGTTCGACCAATACCAGTGGGTCCTCTTCTTATGGTGTATAGCAAGAAGGCAATGATGAGCACAGTAGGCAACATGCTCAGGAGAAAGGAACTGGAAGGATGACACACAACATCAACACAGTTTAAGACTGTTAACCTTTGGCTTTTTTCATGTGTTGCAAGATGTACTTACTGATAACTGCCTCAGATATTATTGCAAACATTTTCAATGTTTTAAAAACCTGGATATTCTAACAATTTATCTGATGTACAATTTTAGTGTTAATTATCACTGAAGCAAACTCATGAGAGATAAGACCAAAGAAAAATCTGTTCTCTACAAGTATGCAATTTATTGATATTTTATACAGTTTAGCACAGTACTAACCATAATTTACTATCATCATATTTGAGTTTCAAAGAAATTTCTTTTAAATTAGTCATTTAAAAATTTTAACATGCCGGGCGCAGTGGCTCAAGTCTGTAATCCCATCACTTTGGGAGGCAGACATGAGAGGATTGTCTGAGTTCAGGGGTTCAAGACCAGCCTGAGCAACGTGGCGAGACCTCATCTCTACAATAAATCAAAACAATTAGCTGGGCGTGGTGGTACATGCATGTAGTTCCAGCTACTTGGAAGGGTGAGGCCAAAGGATCACCTGAGTTCAGCAGGTTGAGGTTGTGGTGGCCATGAGCATGCCGCTGCACTACAGCCTGGGCGACAGAGTAAGACTCTGACTCAAAAAAAATTTTTTTCAACATGATCCTGTTGTTAGCCTAGGTAGAAACCCCAGTTCTCTTACTGGGAAACATTAACTGACTCTGAAGAAATGTCTTCCAAATATCAAATCTTTGCTAATTTAACAGCACATCAGTTTCAAAAGTAATATAGACAGTGTTTAAATCTTTCTCTTGCCAAATGTTGCAGATTCAACAGAAACTCCCAGGAGACTGGTTGTCCTTCCTCCTGCTTTGGAGGAAGCTGCTCAGGAATGACTTAAAGCCTGGGATACCTTTTGCCTTTTGTTCATTTGTCTTAATAAAGTTTATTTCAACATTACTATCAGTAAGATAAATACTTATGTTGATTAATATAATGCAATTTAGTTTAACTTACCCTAAGAAATTTGGATCCAAATCTCAGACATGGTTTAGGTCAAAAGTAAAACAACAAAAATCAAGTTTTCCTTTCTAACCTATTACAAATTTGTAAATGCTGCTAGACAGGCAGCAAGAATCATGAAAAATTTAGTTTGTTTATGGAGAAAAAAAATCATGACTGACAATAAGAGTTTATTAAAGAATGGTACAATAAAACTCTTTATAATATTTCAGTATCAGCTTTTAAAACTAAGTGATTTTCTTACAGCTTCAGGGCCAGGAATAGATATATCCTCGGTGAAATCCTCACAATAGCTATGTAGATTTACACACTGCAGGTAGACTGTAGGCTTATATAACCAAGACTCAAGAAATCCCTAAATCTGAATAACATCATAAGTGTGATAACACACTATCAGTTTTTTTTCTCTTCTTACCTATACAGAAAAATTAAGATTTATTTCTAGTTTCACTCCAGAACCAGTAACTCTATAGCAGTAAGGTATACCTTCTGCACTTAATGCAAATGAGGCTAATTGTCAAGGGTTCTTCTGCATATATAAATAAGCCCTCAAAGGCAATATAATTCCCAAATAAGCTCAAAAACAACTGATTCTTGAAACAAATGGAGCATTCACCCAGACTTAACTGGGGTTACTAAAGTGGCCTTATTAAAGACAATTCTTAAGAGAGCAGCAGCTCTGACAAGGCAGGAAGAAGAATGACTTAAAAATCCCGGAAAACTCTGTAAAATATAAACATAAATGACAGTTCAAAGGTGGGAATGCCACTCTTTAACACAAAGGGATTCTTTACACCAAAATAACATAAAATAATGTATTAGACATTACTATCCCAAACCACTGCTTAATCAAGATTAATATAAATTAACATAAATGAGTATAAAAGTGAGTTATTAATAGTTTTTAAAAATCTGGCCAAACTGAGAAAGACCTATTGAGAATACAATATGGAGTCCTGCCATCGGCAACAGAACACAGTGAACCACACACAGCACAGTCAACAGTCTTCAAATAGTTGTTTTTAAAACTACTTCTTACCCATCACTTTCAGCAATGTAGACCACAGGCACCCGATTTTCCCCTTCTATGCCCAATTCCTGCTGTAAAGTTTCCAGATTCCGTTCAAAGGTGTCTACACTGCCAATATTAAACCAGACGTATTGCTATAAAAACAGAAAAACAAAAATCCTAACAATGAAGTGGAACTAAAAGGTTCAATTCACTAAAGGGTTCAACTTTTTAAAAAAATGTTTCAGAAATACTGAGAATTTACAAATTTTAAAAAAAAAGACGAGTTTTAATAATGTGGTGATTAAATTTCACTCAGAACACTTGGCAATCTTTGACACATAAGCATTTCTTTAGCAATATTTTTCTTTTTCTGTGGCTCTAAAATTATAAACTCAAAAAACAGAAGGAAAAACCTACAGGAAAGGATAATCCTTTTATAAATAAACATGAATTCTTTTCCTCTTCCAGTTTCCAGGTATTTCTCAACTGCCTATTCCCCAACTTAAAACGAACATGATAAAATGACAACAGCCAAAGTTTACTGAGCATTTACGAAGTGCCAGGCACTGTTCTAACCCTATATATACATTAACTCATTCACCCCTGAGGACCATCCTAAGAAGCAGATGCCATCACTAGGAGTGATATCCAAGATCTGAACAGTGAGAACGGCACCACCGCGGTGCAGAAGTGTCTCACTGTACCAGATATTACCTTTGCGCTCCCTAGAGCTGCGATCCTGAATAACTCCAGAAGGGATGCCTGAAGGCCTGGGACGACAGTTATTTTGCCAACCAGTATGGAAGTATTCAAGGGGTGCTAGTGTCTACTGACTGCATATGAGCTCTGCCTTTTACTGTCCCCATTCCACAGATAAGACTCGCTACTCGTGATAGTACACGGAGAATGAGGCTGGAATTTGGACCCAGGCAGTCTGGCCCCAGAGCCAATGTCCTCACTACAGTGTAATACTGCCTCTCTGCACAACCATGAGGACACTGATAATAACAGCCCACACTTATGGAGTTTAACTAGATACAAGACCCTAGTCTGAGCACTTGGCATATTAGCTCCATCTGTTTCACCGTTGACCTTCAGTCCTCCCAAATATCTTTAAAAATCAAAACAGGCAGTATATAATGTAAAACTCATAAGAGAGCATCATGTCACCCCATATTCCTCCCACCAACCAGTGTTACTGAGTGAGGAGCATCGCTCTGGTATTTCTGTCCACATAGCTAAAAATAAAAGATGAAGAGTAAGTTTTATGACAATGTAACAGGTTCTTGAGTAAGTTGTATATATGGTTACATGTGCCAAATACGTACACAATAGATTAACCACACCTGACTGAACATTTCCTAACTCAGTACCTTCTGTCACCTGGGCAATAAGCTAAACATCCACCCAGCTCCCATCATAGAATCATCTGGACACAGGGTGCTGCCCAGGGACATGTTAGAAATGTAGATTATCAGGACACAATCTAGGCAAGAACCTCAACCTGTGGGGCGGAGTGGTCCCAGGATGCAAGTTTGAACAGCTTTCCAGGTAATTTTTATGTACACTGAAGTTTCGAAACCACCACTAATTTACCCTATCTCATTTAAGCATCAAGCTCTAAAAAGTCACTACTGTTATTTTCACTTTAAAGATGAAGAAACCAAGGCTTAGAGAAGTGAAGCCACACACTAGTAAAGAGTAGAACTGATTTAGAGCAAAAGCCTGTGTGTATACAGCACAGCACAATAATTAATATTGTTACTCTGTAAGCAGTAGGACACCGACAATCTTATATCTGTTTCAGAAAGTTCAAAATAAGAAGACTTTATTAAACAGGTAACATGTTCTCCGTAGAAAACTTAGGAAATAGACACAAAAAATAAAAGGCTTTCATAGCCTCAACACTCTGAGATAAACAGTATTAGCATTTCAACACCTATCCTTCAAGTTTTTTATTTACTTTTTTTATTTTTTTGAGTTGGAGTCTCACTCTGTCGCCCAGGTTGGAGTGCAGTGGCCGCTCCCGGCCACAGCAGCCTCGACCTGCTGGGCTCTGGCGATCCTTCCGCCTCAGCCTTCCGAGTAGCCGGAATTACAGGCGTGCGCTACCACGCCCAGCTGATTTTTTTTTTTTTATTTATTGTAGAGATGAGGTCTCGCCGCCCAGGCGGGTCTCGAACCCGCGGGCCAGGCAATCCACTCACCTCAGCCTCCCAAAGGCACGGGATTACAGGCTGAGCCACCGAGCCCGGCTTCCTTCAAGATTTTATAATACTACCTTTACGATCTTGAAATACACATATAACTTTGAAATCAACATAGACCATAACTGTAGCATAAAGGGGAAATAAAAAATAATTGAGATACCATAGTATAAATTTTAACACATAAATGCTTGTCCATGCCAATACCGCAATATAAGTTCCTTCCAATGTGAAAACTGCCCTCCAGGGACAGTACTGCTCCCCACCCCGGGACCACTGCTCAGCATGGAAACTGAAAGCTCAAGAATGAGAATTCCCTGTGAACCAAGTCCCTAGTGTGGGACCTCGATTTCTTTCTTTCTTTTTTGCAATTTATAAACATTTTAGAGGACATCCTTCTGCAGACATCTGTACACGCATCCTTAATTTTTTCTCTAGGCTATATTCCTAGAAGCAAATTACTGAGTGTGTGCGTACTTTCCACACTGCTGGTATATATACTGCCAACTGTCCTCTTGAGAGGGAGTGCCAACTTAATTCCCCGCACTAAAAGTCTGAGGGAAAAAAAAGCACGGTTATTAACAGACATTTCATCATTAGGGAGAGCGAATGGGGGACAATCAAGACAATTAAAATAACTTTCCTAAATGTGACTAAAATGCCAGAGCCATATGCCTTTACAGATATTGCTATATTTGCTGATATGTGACTAAACAGAGAGATATGGTTACCACCATTTTTAGTCTGTCTTTATTTTTTTTATTTTTATTTTTTTTTGAGTTGGAGTCTCACTCTGTTGCCCAGACTGGAGGGCAGTAGGCGCTCCCAGTCACCGCAGCCTCGACCTGCTGGACTCCAGCGATCCTCCCGCCTCAGTCTTCCAAGTAGCTGGAACTACAGGCGCACGCTACCACGCCTGGCTAATTTTTGATTTATTGTAGAGATGAGGTCTCGCTGCCCAGGCGGGTCTCGAACCCGCCGGCTCAGGCAATCCACTCACCTCAGCCTCCCAAAGGCGCGGGATTACAGACTGAGCCACCGAGCCCGGCTTAGTCTGTCTTTAAATGTTGCCCCGTCCAGGCAGGATGGCTAGGAGGTGCTTAACAACATTATCCTAACGGAGCAAGGATGCAGCCTGGTATAAATGTCTGGTTCCAGGGAAGGATAGGATACCAAGGAACTGGGATGGGGTACAGAGGTCAGGCCCAGGACTGGGAGCCACTGGGAGCCTCAGCTCCACCTCTCTTAACCTCTCCTGCATAATTTCCTCAATGCACTCAACTTGATCAGGGTGTCTGGCAGTACAATTCAAACAGGTTGGACAGGACATACAAATTATGTTTAAAACAGAAAATTAAATGAAAATTAAAATAATATCACAAAACAGTTGGGAGAGAGATGACCAGGATGCTTCTTATAATGGTTTGAAAAAAAGGTGTCTCATAACATAATAATTGAGATTTTGACATTTTTGTCCAACCAAACAACTGTTTCTCAGTCTTGAAAGATCATCGACTATTCTGGAATACTGAAAACTAGAATATCATTCACTATATCCTAAATGTACAGCCAAAATGATTATCAGAAAAAAAACACCAACCCAGCCCCCACATGGCTAACACCTACACAACATTCACATTTCCACTTATGTTAGTGATATCACACCTGCTACACTGCCCAATTCTGATATGTCCAGTGTGCGTATCTACCACAATGGGAGAGATGTGCTCTTTTCAGTTTTAAACCTGAAGTTAATTTATGACTAATTCACATCAATTAATAACATGATTTACCCCATCAACGGGAGTTTTTCCTGGTGCAAAAGTCACTCGAACAAAACGCTTGTTGACGACTTCCAATCTGTCCACCTGGAATTTTAAAAAGTTAAACATTTAAACATAAATATATAGAAAATACTTATGAAAATCTTTTAAGCTCATTTAAAATGCATATTATATTTTAGACATACAAGACAAGAACAAAGCATCTTTACTCAGTTTCGGTATCAATGTAATGTTAGCTTCACAAAATGATTTGGGAAGAATTCTGTCTACAAGCAGACAACAGGCATGAAAAAATGCTCAGCCTCACTAATCACTGAAGAAATGCAAATTAAAACCACAATGAGATACCACCCAACTCCAGTCAGGATGGCCATCATCAATAACTCAAAAAACAACAGATGCTGGAGAGGATGTGGGGAAGAGAACACTTCTATACTGTTGATGGAAGTGTAAGCTAGTATAACCTTTGTGGAAAACAGTGTGGCAATTTCTAAAAGATCTAAAAATCAACCTTCCTTGTGGCCCCGCAATTCCACTTCTGGGAATATACCCAAAGGAACTCAAATTACTATATAAAAAGATACCTGAACACACATGTTTATTGCAGCATTATTCACAATAGCAAAAAACACGGAATCAACCATGCTGCCCATCAAAAGTGGACTGAATAAGGCTGGGCGTGGTGGCTCACACCTGTAATCCCAGCACTTTGGGAGGTCGAGATGCGAGGACTGCCTGAGACCAGGGGTTCGAGATCAGCTTGGTCAACTTGGCAAGACCTCAACTCTACAATAAATCAAAAAAAGTAGCCAGGCACGGTGGCACATGCCTGTAGTTCCAGCTACTTGGAAGGCTGAGGCAGAAGGATCACGTGACCCAGGCTGTGGGGGCCGTGAGTGTGACACTGCACTCCAGCCTAGGAGATAGAGTGAGACTACAACTCAAAAAAGAAAAAAAAGTAGACTAAATAAAGAAAATGTGGTACATAGCATGAGGGAGTATTATGCAGTCATTAAAAAAACAAAGTTGCCGGGCTCGGTGGCTCAGCCTGTAATCCCGCGCCTTTGGGAGGCTGAGGTGAGTGGATTGCCTGAGCCGGCGGGTTCGTG